TTACCTCCATGCTGTTCTTGTGATAGTGAGTGTGTTTTCAGGAGAGCTGATGGTTTTATAAGGGGCTTTTCTCCCTCTTCACTCTGCACATCTCCTTGGCCATGTGCACAAGGACATGATTGTTCTCCCTTCCACCATGATTGCAAGTTTCTTGTCTTCCCCAGCCATGCTGAACTGTGTGTGAAGTACATTTCTTTTCTTTATATATTACCCAGTCTTTGGTATGTCTTTATTAGCAGCATGTGAATGAACTAATATACCTACACAATTGGGTGCAGATTGAACATTCCTAATCCAAAAATCTAAAATAGGAAATATTCCAAATATGAAATTTTTTGAACATTAAACATGAAATAGTTACAGCTTTGCTTTCTAATGGTTCAATGTACAGAAACTTTGTTTCATGCATGAAATTATTAAAAATATTACATAAAATTACCTTCTGGGTGCCATCCCCAAAATATACATACATACATGTATAATTTATTATATATATTATTTTATATATGTACATATATATGGTTTATTATTATGTGTGTGTATATATATATATTTCAATATAAAAAAATCTACAATCTGAAACACTTCTGATCCAAATCATGTCAAAAATGGAATACTCAATCTGTAGTAGAATTGTACCTAATATCAACATTTGTCTGGTATATTGTAATCATTGAATAAATATTTCTAGTAGATAGCATAGTTTTTGCTGAACCAGTTTTGTAACTTTTATCACCTAGTTTTTTTAGGATTAATTTCTTGTTAACACTCAGTACATGTCCTTTGAGTGAAACTATTTCTACCTCTCAACCTATAGGATAGACATATTACCCAGGCCTGGCCCTTTGCATATTCTTTACATGCCCTTTCCTTAGTTAAAATAAGTATGTAATTTAAGCAATGACAATAATAAAGACAATTCTGGGATGTCAGTTGGAATTTTTGAAATTAAAAAAATAACTTGCTGTCTAATAAAAATGTTGGCTGTAAATGTGAATCTAGAAATGTCAAGACTCTCTACTTACACAGTATTTGTTTGAGAAAGAATTCAAAATGGAAAAAAAAAAAACACAGAAAACAGAGAAGGAATTAGAGAGAGGATAAAAGTGGCTGAATTCCTACGTCCTGCCATACCTAAAGGTAAACACAACTCTGTATTTTTTAGGCATTCAATTTGTTTTATTTTTATTTATATGTATAGGGTTATCATCACTTGCAAATAAAAGAATTCTGATTAACACATTTTAAACTTTTCTCCATATTTCTCACAATGTGAAGAGTATAGTTCATTCATGAAACAAAAATGTGTCAAACAGAGCATGTCATATTCCTTGAATTAGATGGGAGAACTGCAGATACATTTCTTTGGACTGATTAAGTAAAATGCATTAGAAAATGTTGGCAGAAGATTAAAATAGAAGAAGTTACTTATGTTTTTCTTACACATGTTTTCTCTTAAGCGGAAGGGTATAGTGAGCAGCTTTTAGGATGGCCTCCAGTGATTCCATCCACTGGTATTTATGTCTTTGAGGAACCTTTCCCTTTGAGTGTGAGCTGGATTTAGTGACTCACTTCTAATAAATAGAAAACTACAGAACTGGTGTTAAGTCACTTCTGAGATTAGGTTATAGAAAGATACTGGCTTCCCTTGGAGGACTGCTGTTGCTCTGTCTTAGACTGCTTGTATGTCATGAAACAGTCCCCTAGTGAGGTTCACGTGAGTGAGATTAGAATCAGATCATTCCCCAGCCAGGTCTTCATGTCAACTTGCAGCTCTGGGTTATAGGTTGACTGCAAACTCATGAAAGAGTTTGAGGCATGGCACTTAGAGAAGCTACACCAGGATCCTTGAACATGTGAGGTAATAAATGGATGGTGTTTTAAGTGCTAAGTTTTTGAGTAGTTTGTTACACAGCAATAAGTAACTAATACATAAGAGTAGAATCAGGATCAGTGATTATAAAATGGAATCAGAGGCTCTGTTTTAAAACTGTTGTCACCTTCTATCACCAATTAGCAACAAGAAGAGAAATTTAGCTTACTTCAATTTCTTCTGTATTTACCATCAGCTACTATCACCAGGAAGGCTTGAATAAAGTTATAACTGATAATCAAACTCAACATAGTGTTTCAGGCCTTTCCCGTTTTATCGTTAGTCTTTCTCTATGCCTTTCTATGTGGTGTTTTGGAGCTTGAACAGCTGAACTCACCATTGTATCACCTGCATTATTACCTTTAAATCACAAACAGATTCTCAAGTAATTTCAAAGAAACCTCACTTCCGTAAATATAAATAAATAAAACGAGGACTGAAGAATTGAAGCCTATCTAGGTAAGGAGTTGCTAAAAGCTTTCCTACAGGACTTCAGTGCTCAACTACGGTCACTTACATATGTTCGCTTTTAGATTTAAGTATTTTTAATGGTTTGGAGAATTGTCTTAAAGTCCAGGTGTATTAGGCTTCTAAACTTTGATTATGTACCTGAGAATCTAAATTTGATTATATATTTTTGGAATTCAGAGCCCTAAGATCTAAACTTGTTAAAATAAACCATCTTGGGAGCAAGTAAGACAGCAGCAGCATTAAAAATAAAATCATGATTCCTTATTGGCATTATTGCAATACTTCTTTATTGACTGGACTTTTTCCTAAATTGGTGAATTTTAATTATTTAGTATAATTTTAATATGGTGAAGTTGATAATATATCCCATTTTCTAATTATTTATCTTTCCTTTAAATCTCAAATCACAGGGTTGCCATTATGAGAGAGTAATCTAGTTGCACGTTCCCGTATATTTGAAATGGAGAACTGGAATTTTTCAAGAATTTTCCCAAATAATCCACCTTGCCAGATAACCACTTTGTTAGCTGCTCAGAAACAGTCTTAATGTGGAAAGTTCAAATAGAAACCAATGACAGAATTAAAGGCAGAACATTATAATAGTTATGACACCTTTTGAGTTTTCTGAGTGATGTTAATCCATATGCCAGTTTTGCTTCTTTGACTTATGTTACACTGATAGAATTATTTGGCCATTCACTAGCAATATGCAACAATACACAAATCAGAGTTCAGAGAAAAGAGAAATAGAGGAGAGAGAGAGAGCAAGAGAGAGGAATTTACAGATCTGTATTTCCATACTTATCTTTTATATGGTGTATTTTCAGGTAAAATCGATCCAGCAAGCTACATGGCTCTTCTATACATTGTCAGTGAGAAAAGTAACCCTTTTCCCAAAGGAAAGAAAAATTGGGAAGGATTGAATTGAAATTAAAAAGAGGGATAAAACGTCTTAATCTGGTACTTCCCTCTTGTCTAGAAAAGCAGCAAACACCATTAGTGTTTGATGGAATAATACATAATTCCCCTAACAGACAAATTTCCCACCTAATGGTATCTTTTGTTTTAGAGGGCTATTCATTTATCGTTTAATGGTGCTTTGCAAACTTGAATGTGCATATAGATTACATGCAGATCTTGTGAAAAGTGGATTTGATTCAGTTGGTCTAGGGTGCTGTTTGAGATTTTACATTTCTAATAAATTCCCAGGTGAAATCAGTACATGGACTATATCTTAGTAGCAAGAGTTTAGAATTTCTGACATTTTTATAAGACTGTCTTTGCTACTGCGGAATATATGCAGACACTGTTCTCAAGGAGACAACACTATATTCAAAGAGAAAAGTCAACCCATGTGTAAAAATAGCTCATGCATTGATAAGATTAACAGCAATTAGTATATTGAGGAGGTGTAGACAGGGCTGGCTTCATGAGCATATGATGCATGCAGTTTCACAGGGCCCTATGCTTAGAAGGGCCTACATATGGTTTAATGCCCTGCTGTTGCTGTCTGGAGATTCTTCTTATTGTTATTATTTAAGTTCTGGAATACATGTGCAGAAGCTGCAGGTTTGTTACATGGGTATGCATGTGCCATGGTGGTTTGCTGCACCCATCAACCTGTCATCTACATTAGGTATTTCTCCTAATGCTATCCCTCCCCTAGCCTAACCCCCATGCCCCATAAGGCCCTGGTTTGTGATGTTCCCCTTCCTGTGTCCATGTGTTCTCATTGTTCAACTCCCGCTTATGAGTGAGAACATGCAGTATTTGGTTTTCTGTTCCTGTGTTAGTTTGCTGAGAATTATGGTTTCCAGCTTCATCCATGTCCCTGCAAAGGACATGAACTCATCCTTTTATATGGCTGCTTAGTACTCCATTGTGTATATGTGCCACATTTTCTTTATCCAGTCTATCATTGATGGGCATTTGGGTTGGTTCCAGGTCTTTGCTATTGTGAACAGTGCATCAGTAAACATACGTGTGTATGTGTTTTTATAGTAGAATGATTTATAATCGTTTGGGTATATACCCAGTAATGTGATTGCTGGGTGAAATTGCATTTCTGGTTCTGGATCCTTGAGGAATCACCACACTGTCTTCCACAATGGCTGAATTAATTTACACTCCCACAACAGTGTAAAAACGTTCTTATTCCTCCACATCCTCTCCAGCATCTGTTGTTTCCTGACTTTTTAATGATTGCCGTTCTACCTAGCATGAGATGGAAATTCTTACTACATTTTGAACAAGGGGCATTTCATCTTCATTTTGTAATGGAAACCACAAATTACATAACTGCTCCTGGGTACCAATAAGGTTGTATGGAACATTAAAAAGGGTGAAGTCATTGTTCACTGAAAGCAATAGGAAATCATTTCCAGAGGAGGAAGCATTCGAACCGTGCCTTGAAGGATACGTAAAATTTTAACAGAGATACATGTAGTTAAGTAATGTGGGGAGAACAATGTGGGCAGAGAGATTGTTATGATCAAAGAAATGAAGACTAAAAGTGTTGCATGTGGGAGGAATAGGGCAGAGTTCGGTGTGGAACATAAAGTGCTGAGCACGTAAGTGTTCAATACATTTTTGTTGAATTAATTTCTGCTGAATGAGTTTCCCAGAGATTAACATACTGTCTGTATTGCTAACCTAGATGAAAGAATTATACCATCTCAACTGTAGCAAGTACCGTGGCCTGTGCTTTTAGAGGTTCAAAATTGATGCATGAGAGTAAAGGTGAAAATAAGATTTGTTAACAGATGTTAACAGTCCTACAAAATGGTAGGCTCTTTAACTTGTTACCTAATCTACTTAAGTGATTGGAAATAGGGTGGTGATTTTCATTTCACTAAAACATTATGGTCTAGTTTCCATTCATCTAGAAAAATTTTGTTTTATGGTTTGAACATTTTCAGGAATCTCATTGAAACAAACAAAACAACATGTTGCCTTTGGACAGAATTAGAAACTAAGGTTAAAACTTTACTACAACATGTAACTTGTAAAACAGACCAATGGCCATGATCCATATAAAATGAGCATTCGTATTACATGTGGAGAAACTCATTCATGGGAGTATGAGAGGATCAAAATAACCATATTTGTTTTGTCAATTTTTCTCCTTATTAGATAGAAGTGAATAACTAACATAAGTGTTTTTTGTCTCTTTTTGTACAAATGAGGCTAGACCTTTGAAATAAATTTATTTGGGGAAGGCACACAACTTGCCAAGGCTTATCTTTCTGCTTTAAAATTAGAGTGTGGTGTCCAAGCAGACAGCTGGGGAAGTTTTCCTCCCTGGGCTGCAGTGCTGCTTGGCCCCGCTGCTCTTTAAGCCTCTCTGAACTTTTTCCATGAACTCATCCTCAATGTCCTTCTCCTCCAACCCTACAGGGACAGATTAACTGGTCAGGAAAAAAGAATGCCATGGGCATAGTCACCCAGTTGGATCCCACTTGAGTTATTGAACCTACGAGCCACGGTGTTTATTATGTCGCCACCACAATACCATCTCTAGGGCCAGCTCTGTGCCAAGGTTCCCCTTGAAACCAGTAACAGAAGTGACAGGCATAACTCATGGTGGATCTCCTAGCAAAGAAATATGCCCCTGGTCCCTATATACCCTCTACTGGCTACCCTCTAGGTACTTTTTCCTGGCATGGTTGGCATTGCAGGAATATTTCATAAAAATCCTACTTACGTAAACTGGGACTTGTACTTTGCTTATGAGGTATTAACACAGTCTTTTTTTTTCTTCCATTTCCTTCTGTTTCTTTCCATTTACAATTGCCATGATCATAATCATTTTCTCTATCCCTAAAATGGCCTATGAAAATGAGACCTTGAAGGGAAATAGAGGCATTAAAAGCTTTTAAGAAACCTGAAATGTTTAACCTTATGGTTTCATGCTTTCTTACTGAGGAAAATGAAGCAAAACAAAATTATATGAAATGAAGCAAACTTCTTTTTTAAATTTCAGAAACAAGCGTTTGTCCAAAAATTATGTCACATATGGATACTTATAATTGAAGATGAAGTACTCTTGAATTATAAAAAAGGTGAAAAAAGACATATTTAAAATGTTTTTTAAAATATTGAGTCTTCAATACAAAAGCGAATACTGTTTTTGTTTTCTATTGGTTAGTGCATTATCTATTCTGTCAACCATACTTTGCTTATAAAGTATAAATGCAGATATAGGGTAAGTTTCAGAATAAACTACAAACTTGGTCATGTGGGTAAGCTTTTCCCTATATAATATATATTGGGGATCTTCATTGCTTCCATTGAGATACTTTCTAAATATTATTTTTCTTTTGTGTCACAGAGATTAAGTGAAATTTCCCAGTTAAGGAAACAGGTTAGCTTCTTGTTGCTGAGACTCTCTGGCTTTTAAATTGAAATAAAACAGACCCACTTGCAGTGCAGTTGTTTGGATTGTCTTTTGTATGTTCTAATGTACCTGGGATAGTCATTCTTCAGAAAGCACATTCCTCGATGTGGAGATATTTGAATGCACAGAGGACAGACTAACATCATTGTACTGGCAAGTGCCTCAGCCAGGCTGAAGTGTGAAGTGTTGTAACTAATTGGGATGCTTCAGACAGAAAACCTATTAGCTAAGTAGTTAAAGGAATTGTGGGAGAGGAAATTCTTAGGTTATTCAATAATGACTTTCAATTTCATTTTGGCTATGAAAATGTGCCAGTGGACACCAGACTCGTGTCACTTTGGCCTGAGTGAAGCAGCCAGCACTGTTGCTATAGTGAAAGATGTAGGAAATGTGCACCCAACTGGCGTGTGAGGACAGAGATTTTTATTTATGCCTAAATCTCTGCACACATGTAGGTACTTTTTCCAGTTACAATTAAGCCTTTTATATTTCAGGGAACATAACTGAAAGAAATGTGTCTAAATGAAATAATTGATAGGCTTAAAATAAAGATGTTAGTAAGCTAATAAAAATGTTAGACAAAGATGACATCATAAAAGGTAGCATTGCTAGTGGCTAACATATTTATTTCTTTCAATAATAATCTCACACTTTCTAAAAACACTTATAAAGGTATACAGAGATCGGAAAATTTTGATGATATAAGGTGCTACACATGCAATTTGAAGGAATGACCAGATTCATATCTGAAAGCCTGAGGTTCCCACTCATAAAAAATATACCAGTATGGAGAGACTTAAAAAAATTAACTTAGAATAAAGAAACAAAAACTCAACATTCTGCTAATAAGCCACTTACAAAATACCACATGTTATGTGATTCCACTTGTATAAAATGTCCAGAATAGATAAATCTATGGAGACAGAAAGTAGATTGGGGTTGAATAGGCCTGGGGAAAAGATGGGAAAGAAGCTGAAGGGCAATGGCTAGCGGGAACAGGGTTTCTCTTGGTGGTGATAAAAATTGTTTAAAATTGCTTGTGATGACAGTTGCACATGTCTGTGCATATACTAAATATCATTAAACTGTACATTTTAAATGGGTAGACTATATGTATGCAGAATATTTCTCCATAAGACTGATTCATAAAAAATTAACTCGTACACTTTCCTTTTAATCATCTACCATACATCTCATCTAAAGTAAGAAAGTTCTTATAATTCTAAATGTTTAAATAGCCAATTTGCCTGGGTATTTACCCAATTCTCCACTCCCAGGTGGGACTGGCAAAAGTAGGTGGGAGAAATGGGAGTGGTTCTTTCTCTGCAGGGCTCCGATTTTAGCCCAAACAGTTATGTAGACATCAAAGAGCACACCAGGACAACCAGAATGGAACAGCTGCAGACCTCCTTTGATCTCTGCCCAATGACCTCTTCATCACATTTAGTATCCCTTCTAGTCTGGAGTTATTTTTTGAATTCTTATTCCTTCTAGGAAAGCTATTGCCCATAGACTAATGTTGGTTACCAAGATATTTTCTGCAAGCTGGAAATCTGTATTCAAAAATTTTTTCTTGTGGACAGTGCGTGTTCTTTATATCTATTTAGTGTTGAGATATCTGGGTTACAAGTCTCTTTTTGACATAGCAACATCCCAGTCTGTTATAATTGGGCTGCAATTAGAAAGATAATCTTGAAAATTCATCTATGTGCTCTCTAGGTCTTTTGTTTCTTTAGTATTTAATCATTCCACTGATGTTGTTCCCTGTATAACATAAATTAGTTAGAGGAAAGAAATTCTCAAATCAAACAATTAGCTACTAGTTCTAATTAAGAGGTTGGTTGGAAAAAGCAGCCAAAATTAATAATTTAGATAGTTTGATTTTTCATGTACTAGAGAAAAATAATCAGAATCGTGGTTAGAAAGTTTATACAATTGTGGACCTTCTGTTCAGTATTCAGGCATATTTTCTGAAATTTATTACTTCAAAAGTGTTTGAAGTGTATGATTGATTTGATAGACATTTTACTTAAACCCATTACATTCCACTTAACCCACCAAAAATATATTAAGTACTGAGGACAGAACAGACATTGAGCTAGGGTTCATGTGGGAAACTTAAAGGAAGAATAAACAAACATACAGTAGCAGGTGATCTTGAATGAAGCAGATTTATCTGCAGCAACAACTACAAAAAATCTGATACAGAGAGAACATGTGATGTGCAATATAATTTAACAAACAGAAGATATATGTATCCAAGTTTATATGTAGAGTGCTGGTTTAATGAATACATAAAATTTGAGCAATTCAGTACTTTGCTGCAAAAATACATTATTGTGATAGCATCATGGGGACCTGAATAAATGTGTAGATCTAGTTATTCCCAAGTATAGCTACAGAAAATTAAGTAGTATGTGTGGATTTCTCGTGTTGTAGTGTCAAATTATTTACCACTTCATTGCTTTGGAGAACATGTGGAAAGAACTGAATGCCCTCATGTCCATTAACTTTTTGGTTCATTTGTTTTTTGTTGTCATAAGCATTTATGGTAATAGAGATAATCAGCAAGAGAAATGTGTTATTACACATTGTAACCAATAAAATTAAACAGTAAATACATTTAGTTCTTGATAATATAATCTCTTGTCCTAAAAGATAATTAAAATGTGAATCGTGTTGATCATTTTCTCTCCAGCAAATTACAGGTAGCCTTATAAATATGGGTTATGGCATGCAAGAAACTGGCATGTTACTATGTGAAGTCACTGTTCGTTCCCCTCTTATTTCTGGAAGTCTAGCAAAATGAAGACAATCTATTATGTTCCAATGACTCACCTTTTCCCCTCTATAACATGCAGTACCCTTGAAACTCCTGGTCAAAGTTTATTTTCACTGCTAAACTGAAAACTCCATGAGCACAGGGCCTTCTTCACTATTGCATAGTAACAGTAAGTAATTAAATATTTCCATAGTAAATGAATCAAGAAGAACCATGGTAGGAGATACAGAAAATTTAAAAGTATGACAAAATTACCTTAGTTTATATGTTTATTTAAACAGTTGATGTATTTCTTCTCTTTGTGCCTTAAATGTTGTTTGCAGACTCCTACTGAATATCATCCACATTGCACAATCTCACTCTCTGTTTACATGTCTGTTTCTTCTAGATCTTGCTCAAGCATCTGAAGAAAGAGTATTTTGGAGAAGTGCAGCATTTCGAAGGGCATTCTCAGGGATAGGATCTGGTAAATAAATTTGTGTTTGAATTTCTAGCAATTTGCACATTGAATGTGTAGTAAATACCAGTAAACAGTTATTGAATTAATGAATGAATCAATGAATCTTTAAAATTCCAGACAGTTTTGTCCTTTTGTGTCTACTAATTTTTTTTATCTTACAATGAGCATGTTTGTAAAACAATTTGACATTGTGAGAATCATAAGGATTATTGCCAAAGCAATTAACAATTGCAATTCAAATGTTTTGTATGAATAGAAAATAATCACATTAAGTTCTTATTCAATATATAGATTTGTTTAAGAATAAACTAGTAACATAAAATTGATTTTATTTCCTAAATTAACATTCTAGGCGTAAATTTTATGGTGTCAGCAATATGATCATTTACTATTTGATGAAATGTAATATTAAATACATTCACTTTCTCATAATGCATTGTTATGTCCCAAAAGACAAGTAAAATGTAGATTATACCACATAATTTGCAGAATCTTCCCACACAATATTTTTCATTTTGCTTTGCTCTTTCCAGATACTCTGTCTTTCCAGCTAATGTCTCATCAATAAATACCTTGATCAATCAACAATAATATAATACTTAAATATTAAATTTACTTCAAAAGGTAATTACTTTAGCATTTGCAAAGGGGATATGGAATGTTGCAGACTAGGAGAGATAGATATTTCAGGACACCCACACAGAATGGGCATTGGTATGGCAGAGGAGTATTACAGAGAATCTCATTGTACCCATGTCCATGCATGGAATAACCTGCCTCCTGGCTGGCTTGAGGAAGCTAATCAGACTAGGCAACAGCCACAGGAAAGACACTATCTCTTTCTATATCAACAACTCTCCTCCTCCTCCTGCCAAACACTATCAAAATCCTGAATAGTCATATAAATTACTAAATATTAAGTTGGAAACCAAAAGCAAAGAAAATGAATATAATGATGTGACCTCATTGTTGGGAGAAGGCAATGCAGAGCACTTTTGGATATGCAATTTTCCTGACCCACGGAGGTTTCCTAGAGAACAAAGTCTAAAAGAGTGGGAGGAAATAATCCAGGCAGATGCAAAATCTGGTGAGTGGGAGTCGTGGCACTCACCAGAGAGAACATGTGATATGCAGTAAATAAGCTAGGATCAGGCAATCACAGGACTTCACATGTCAACCTATTCACTTTTCTTACTCTCTATCCAGATATAGAAACAATAAAACAACAAAAGGACAGAATAAACAACAAATAATGGAGTGAAGAAATGTTAACTACAAAAACAGAAGAGCTAGATATAGTAAACACATTTTTAAAAGGTGATAGAATAAATATTTTTTAGGCTCATTTGCTGTTGTTTATTACAAAATTCTACTCTATGGCTAAAATTTAAATACATGTTATGTAGACAGGTTCCATTTGTTCCGATTTTTAGGTTTCACATTGTAAGTTTAGTACTAAAATCACTAACTTTGGGTATGTTGAGAGCAGTGTTTCACTGAGCATACTGAAATGTTTGAGACACCAAAGTTTCCTAAAGACACACTTATTGGACAAAGAATCATTTATTGGGGGTAGGAGGCATTATAACAGTTTGCTTTAAAAGGTAAACATAACTGTGAAAATGTAGTTCTTGGTCTTGAAAAAGATTTGTCTTTTTAATATACTTTATCCAATATCTATATACAACTTTACAATTTTTTTTTATAAATTTTGACTCCAATCTTTAATTGTCATTAAAGACCAATTCTCCTACTAGTAGTTTACACTCTGTTTTGAGTAGATGGCTCTTTCAACCATCGTGAATATTGTAAATTAAAGTTGAAATATTTTCAAAGTGCATGCACTGCTCCAGGGCTTTAGGCCAATATCCATCAATTGCTTTGCTCTTTCGGTTGAGTGCGAGTCTCATCCATGACAGCTTTCTGTAAATTAGAGATAAAGCCTTGTTCTGCCTTTCTAACATTTTCCATGCAGTTTGATCACTTCTGCATCTTTTCTTTTCCAGGGTCAAGAAAGAAGAGAATTTGTGTTAGATTTAGTCCTTTCTCTCATCAATAATTGGCCCTATGTTTACATAGCTTTTTTTTTTTCTTATTAGGAATCAGATTAAAGTCACAAATTGTACTCAGATGCATACTGCTTTCCATTAAAGAGAACATGTGTCTTTTTATAAGACAAATGATTTTTAAAGCCGCTTTTAAACATAACAAGATTTAGAAACTGAGATATACATTGATTTTACCATATGGCCTTTGTCCTAGCTTTGTGAAGCTATCACAATATCTTATCAAACCCTATCTCATGCATTAGCTTATACCACTTACTCTTCATAAGAAAAAATACCCTGGAATAATTTAAGGTTACAATTATATTTGTAATTCAAATTATTGCCACTGTAACAGGACTTTAAAATATAATTTCTGTTCCTTTGATTTCAGTTTTTATTTTTCTTTATTAAAAGTAGTTACTAAATATAAAAATATAATTTTCACACTAATAGTTTAAATACTAATAGTTTAGATATAACAGAAAAGTTTTATTCTGTAATGTGATGATAAATTTCTATTTCATTTTATATATAACATATTTCTATGATTTTTATTTTTATATTAACTGTAGTTACCCTTTATAGTAAAGAAATAGAAGTTTCCAGTTGCTGTTATTAGCTCTTGCTGTTTTGTCAAGATAGAGTAACAGAAATAAGCCTTTTATTCAGTATGAACTTTGACACTTTGGACTAAGTGATTGCTGGATCCCAACAGTGAACCAGGTACTGCTAAGAACACAGGAAGAATTACAATTCCTACTTCTCATGACCTCTGGACTCTGAAGTATATATCCCTTAGGTCCTCAGGTCCTGTTGTGGGATTTATATGTGCACATATTGCTTTCCCACTCAACATCATCCGTGAATTACGTACAAACCTCCTACAGTCCCCGTTTCTAGTCACTGGAGTGGGTGATGCAGGCCCTACGGAACTTTACAGAGAATGCTCAGAGTCCTCCCAAGTACCTTGATGCCAACCATATCTGGCTATGATGCTATTTCCTTTATGTGTAGTTTCTCACATGTGTCTCATCTGTTTGGATAGTTATATGTACTAGAAGTATTTTAAAGTGCAATTTCACCAGACACTGTGTTAAATGCTTTTCTATAGTGCTTGTATTCCATCTACTATATCCTTTCATCTTCTATTCTTGTCTAAAATAAAATATAGACCCTCCCTGCTGCCAGATGCTTCTTCTAGATCCCTCTCATTAGGCAAAAAGAAGTATGCAATTCCCCACAGCTGTGGCAGTCTCCCCACTTCAGCCCCCATTCTGCTTTCCAAACTCTCATATTTACACCATCTCCCTGTGAGGAGAAGCCCACTAATATATTCCCTGTCTCAGCTGCACACAACTTCCTGGAACAGCTCCCAATAAAAAGCCTAAAGCTTCCTCCCTACAGTCACACAATTTTAAATCTTCCCCCACCACAGGCAGACCAGGCCACATATCTTATACTCTAAAGAAGAATTCTTTCTTTCTATGCAATTCATAGTTAACAATATGGTGATTCTGGCTAAAAGAAATATAATCACTACCCTCATCTTATAAGGAACCCACAATTCCTTATAAAAATATCATCCACTATTTCTTCAATGGAATTTCACAAAAACTTAAAATTGTGAGTATGGGGAACAGGGGAGACACAAATCTTGGGGCGTTTGTATCAAATAATGCATGCTCAGGGGAATATTATCTGGAATGCCAGTCACATAAGCAGAGAGAAGAAAATTGATTTAATGGAATAACATGAACACTGAGTTCAGAAAAATGCTGTATTTACATAATTCTAAATATCTTAATGAAGAACAAGTCTTCTGTTAGTAATGTACATGTTTTTAAATAGCTGAGTATTTGATATTTGCTGGATATTTGATATTGGGTGGGTATGTGTGAACAGTTACATTTATAGTTATCCCTAGACTTTATAAGTGTTTACCGAAAATAAACATAATAAAATCAGATTTTAAAAAGGGAGATGAGAAATACTAGCCAAATTCAATACTACCACATCTCAGTACAGATTCCTTTTATCCCTTGAGGATCTGTGAAATCTGACACTGCTCTGTAGGCAAACTAAAGCAGTGTTCAGAATACCATCCAACATTAGAGGACACACAGATTTAGTTTCAGCAACCTTGACAGATGTGCACATCTCCATTATAGAACTAGGACACATATATAAGTAGATGCCCTTGCCCTCGGTTACTTCTGTTTTATAAATGCAAATACCAGTTTAATTAAATCATAGAATCAAATGGGCTTTCCAGAATACAGAAATGAGCCTCCACTGAAAGTATCTTGATTTGAAAACATTCAGAGGAAAATACATCTATTTAGTTTAAGAAGTATTTAGAAGGTCATGTTGTCAGAAAAATCAGTGACCTGCTGCAAGTCTTTTTCTAATTTTAAGCTGTGATGGATTATCCATGCACAAGTAGCTTGCACTTATAAACCAAAGCACAGATAGGTTTGATATGATACAGTGGTTTTAAACTGTGCTTTAATTTGCAGCTATTTGAACTACTTCCATTTTTTACAGATATTGAAAATTGGAAATGAGTCAAGCAGTAGCATGTTCCAACATATTGCTCCAAGAAACAGCACATCAGTTCATCATGTACAGTGAGAGTCTAAAAATTAATAACTAAGTAAAAGACACTTAGCTTTAAAAAATCACATAATAGGAAACTAGAACAGGCTTTTATTAAAATCTGGCTGTTGCAGGGAAAAGTGCTAAATAGATAGAGTCCAGAAGTCCTGGCAGTGACAATTGCTACCTCTGCAACATTGGTCAAATCCATATCTTCTCTAAACCTCAATTGCTACTTTTATTAGGTGGCGGGGGGGGGGGAACCCCAGCCACTTGTATGCATGACTAATGTGAGAATCAAATGAGATAACATATTTTTAAAATGGAAGAGAGCTCTACAATGTTTAGTTTTATTATTTTTGTAA